CTTCTCGCAAAAAAATATAAATTGTCAAAATCTTTGTACATGTGAAACGTTTTCCCATACAAAACAAGCAATTTAAAAGCAACGTTTGGAACGTGATTACTGGGCCGTGCATATGATGTATCAATGCTTATAGAACCAAACAAAATTTACTAAAAAAGAAAGTCGGACTTTAGGTAAGACAAGAAAAAATACGAAATACACATTAATGTTGTTTTTGCTCTAATACCTTTTTGATATGCCTTGGTACTACATTATAAATTGAATTTTCTTTAACTGTTTCGAAATATTTCAAAAGGTTAGCCATCTCAATTAAGAAAGGTACTCATAGATCAACACATAAATTATGACTTTCAATCCTTTCACTTCTCTAGATGACAAATTTAATTACAAATACTCAATCAAGAAAAGTTTACAGATTCTGTGGCGAATCTTACTTGCTTACGACAGTATCGATGCCACAGTAAACATTTTCCTATCCGAGCAACAGATGAACTATTTCCTCATTAACTATCGTACAGTCCTTATTTTTTGGACACGAAATTGCTCAATCCTTCAAGTGATTTTGATTAAACTTAAATATCGCAAAATAGACTCTTACAGCCGTATTCTAACAAAGTCACAAACTTTAGCTCATCACTGCTGTGATTTCTACTACGCCTCAAAGCTTGCCGCTGCAAAAAATATGCCGCTACAATACAAATTTTTAAATTTTTGTGTATTTTTCTAGCACTCAAAATCGAATTTCTTGTGACACATTTCTCGGCGCACTAGAAATCACAACAGTGATGAGCTAAGTTTTGTGACTCTAATAGAGTAGAGGGGTTAGTCTGGGGAGAGTTCTCGTCCTTCTCTAACTCGCAAAAAAAAATTTGAAATATTCCCACATTTATCTAAGTTTTCTAGCATTTTAAAATCATAGATGCAGAATTGAAAATAAAAAATTAAATTGTTCAAAAATGTTGTTCCTAGCATGATAAAAATATAGTAAGGTAGAACCGCTGAGAGTCACTTTTAAAATTCTTGACGTTTCCAAACAATTTAATTTTTAAATTTACTCAGAAACTCACACACACATTTTCATTTTCAATCTCAAGCAACAACAATTTCGAACAATTTCAATTTTTTATTTTCACTTTTATATGATTTTAAAATGTTGGCAAACTTCAAAAAAAATCATGGCCGACAAATTGAGAGAACGGTTCTACCTTGCTATGTTTTTATCATGGTTCCTAGCATACCAGCGGAGTCCGATAATAGACCGTATAGGGGACTTTACGATTTTCAAAATGTTCTTAATTTTGTTATAATTAATTAGTATTAAGGTGTTTTCATCATTTCTATTTATCGAAAAAAACGCTAAATTAAAAAATTATTTACATATTATTCAGTAAAAACAGATAAACACTTTTTGTCTGGTTTAAAATACGTTCCTTTTAGGCTTGGAACCACTTTGCGCCCGCTCTATGAAATTCTTTGCTGGATCCAGTATATTTTCTATTAAATACATCTGAAAAGTTCTAAAGTTAGACAACAGTAATTTTTTATGCATTATTGTTTACGTCTAAATGCATTTGAAACTGCCATAACGTCAACAGCTTTTATGCTCCGAAAACACCCATTCGAGGTGTTAACGTGGGATTGCTCTTCAGTCCGTATTGGGAGTGCTCCGAAAACGCTTTTTCAAGGTGTTGCTGTTGGCGTCCTTTTTACTCCAGATTGAGAGCGCTCCGCAGTTGCCGCCTATTGATATGAACGTAGCAATGCTTTGTTCAACGGAAAACTTGAAAAAAATTTTCTATGCAATTATTTCAAAAGTGGTCTTATGATTTTTAAATCTGAAATGTTCGTGCAAAGTTTCAAATCGAGCACTTTAATTGGATATATGACTTGTCTCTGTTCGCTGGGAATAAGCGCCTTGTCTTAGAATAATAAACAGTTTCGATTTTTAATTATAAAAATTTATTTGTTGAATTGGTACACTGTTACCGTTTTCGCATATTCTGCTTTTACGATTTTCTCATTACTTTCATACTATTTTTGATTTTCAGTTTCTGTACTTCTTTGAGCTGTGAAATAGTTGGTCACACTAGTAATGCATGGATTATAATGGAAGTAACGGAACGGAGTGAACTGTCACTTAATTATCTATTGTATGGGCAATGAATTCAAACGATTATAATGCACTTGAACGCAATGTAAAACGGAAGCATCTAAAATCAATAGATCCTTACGAATTCGCCGCGATTTGTTACGATTCGCCCCGTGCATTATAGCCAAGGTATAACAAATAAAGTCACGCGCACACGTGACAAGTCCACCTAATAAAACATCGCAGCAATTTGCCCACTGTTGTCGTTTCACTTGACAATTCGGAGGTTTAAAATAACGCAAATAACGTCCTGACTCTTGGCAAACACAACGCACCGCCCGTAATTCCTTTTCATTTTATTATGTATTTCAAATCAGTTGCACAGCTCACAATTGAAAATTTAAATTTAAAAAAAAAATTAAAATTTTGAATAGTATTGGGTTAAGAGTTGACATTTTAGTCGCAGTTCAAAAGAGTGAAATGTCGAAATCACTTCTTCCTTGTTGTGCCTTGATTATACATAAATACCTTTCAATTTATGTACAAAAAGAGCGTCACACAGTGATCAGTGTCAGACCAAATGCTCTACAGTAAGTACCTTATAAATCTTTTAAAAGTTTTATAAGCTCATGTTGTAGACTACTATTTATAAGATCCTTATAATATTACCAACATAAAATTTACAAATTAATAATAGATCAACATTTTGCACTACGAAACCGTCTGGTGCCCGTTTGGTCTTATAAGAGATTTATTCGTTTTTTTTTTTTTTGGAGCAAAATGGTGGCATATCAGTGATGGGCGAAAGAGCGATTTTTCAGTATCCGTGAAAAGAGTGATTGCGATTTTTAAATCACAGTGATTTTTTATGGCTATTGTGATCGCTAGTTCTTTCGGTTTACACCGGACATTACTGTCATGGCTAAGGAACCCAATCCCGCAAGTGCGGGTTCTCGCAAATTATATCTTTATTTTTTTAAATATAAAAATTAAACGCAAATAACGCGATCAAGCAAATCAAACTGCGTGCTTGAAAATGTCCATTTAAAATAACCATATTCACAATGAAAAACAGGTAAGAAAGTCTAAGTTCGGGCGGAGCCGAACATTAAATACCCGGCGCAGGTACTAAGTATATGATTTTCACCTTTCCGAAAGCTACCGCTACATGGTAAGCCGGTGTGTATCAATTTTGAGTAAATTAGCGTCCTTAAATTTCGAAATATTGAAGTTTCAAGAATTTCTGAAATTTGCCGTTATATGATAAGTGATCGTAATTTTAATCTGACTCCAATAATTTTCAATGTTTTGCTTCTATGTGGCAAGCACAATAATCATACCGAGTTTTGTACAAATTGGTAGAACGGTTACCGAGAAACATATATGTGATCATAAGTGGGCGGTGCCACGCCCATTTT